GTGGTGGGGGTGTGGGGGGTCTGGGTGTGGGTGTGGTGTGGGTGGGGGGGCTCTGGTGTTGTGTGGGGGGCTTGTGTGGGGGCTCTGTTGGAGGGGGGGGGGCTTGTGAGTGTGGGTGGGGCTTTGCAGTATATTCTGTGAAGCGCTTTGAGACGTTTTAACGGCATGATGAGGCGCTTATATCAAATGCAAGGATTATTATGATACTTAATCTTCCTTGTTTTGTGTGTTTTATATCCGTGATAATATCCTTGCAATTTTGGCGTCGTCGTGCTGTGAAGTCAACCACGTGCCCACTGATATTCCCTTCTGAAGAGGCCAGTGACAGGATAATTGTGCGTTATGGAAACTATTGAGCCACATGTGCTTGGAAAAGTCCATGAAATTACTACTTTTTTGTGGCTGATGCTGAGAATGGCAGTGCCTGTACTTGCGTACAGTTCTGTGACTCACACGATCCCACATGCAGAACGCTTAGTGCATCAATGACAGTTCGATGTATTTTCTTCAGAGTTGTGGTGAAAACTATACACCTTATTTATATTTTACCACGTTTACAGTCTGTAAAACCAAAAGGTTTCAGACCTTTGCTCCAGCATTTTAGGTGATCCTTTTGATAGCAACTCTTCGTTAAGTTGAAACTCTGGAGCAACACTGACGAGTTCGAATTTTTTATCAAAAAAAAACCCTTTAAAAGGAAGTCTTGTGTCACAGCCCTATTTAGTATGAGAACCGAAATGGTAGATATAGACTGACTTGTTTGCATTCTTCAGATGAAGGTATCCACGGAGGAATTCCGAAGCCTAGCAACACGCTACCACGACCTTTATCAGTCCTCCTTTGATGCTGACTCAGCCACTTTGAGAAACGTCGAGTTGTATCCTTTTCCGCTGAACTGCAAATCACAATGTCCTTTGGATAGTTGGGGCAGAAATGTTTGGAATTTAGATGCATAAATAAAGCAAAACATTGGGTCGTGGATTTCTGTCCTGGATTTAACCACTGACGATCCTGTTTCGGTACTTCCGCGTGTTTTTCTCATTAAGATTAGGGTTTGTTTCCTCCTCTCCCGGCTGCTACCCAATACCTTGCTAAAGTGGCTTTTCTTGGGTAAACCTGCACAGAGAATGCCACCAGAGTATTGTGTTGGAATGTGAGGGGTATCACAGCAGAGCCTGATCCTGTTCTTCCACACATTCCACCTCCTCTTCGACCATGCCTTCAAACACTTTCCTTTCCCTCCCTGACATCCACCCTCCCCGATCCCGACCCCCCCAGGTCGGGTCCAAAACACTGATCGTCCAGCGCCTTGGGACGTCCTCCCGACGTGAAAGACGCTATACACGTGTAATTTTGTGGTTGAGATAAACAGCCATGTAACAAATGCTGTGGGCAAATTAGCATTCACCTGCAAATACACAGTCACTGCACAGAAAAGTCAAGCGCTTTGTGGCATTTTTAGGCTATGAATCAAATGGGAGGATTATTATTGCATGACGATTACAAATTGTAAATGAATGATTTTGTCTTAAAGGCATGACGTGCAAGGGGTCACAAATTTATCCTGTTAAAATTTGTGCACGTTGTTAGTCCAATGCTGCCCTCTTTAGGATTGCACCTTACAACACATTTCATATCCGCATGAGATGTGAAACAAATTACAATAGAATAAGAATGAGTTGGATTGGAATGGAATAATTTTAAGACGCTGCTGCTTAATTTTTTTTGATAGGTGGCGTTACATTTTCTTTGGTTTAAATCAGTGTTATACTACAAAATGGATTACATTGGAATGCATTAGAATATACGGCACAGAAACAGGCCTGCGGTGTGAGACAGTGGCGGAGCCGGGCGCTGCCAGTATTTATGCTCCACATGTGCCTCCTGCCCTTCCTCAACTAAGCCTTCAAGCAGAACCTTCTAATTGTACCAATTTCAGCCCAGTACCTCAAATACTATGTTACTTTGATCTAAACACAAACGCACAATGTTTGGTACACTGCGGTTTATTGGGAGTCGACAATCTCAATGAAGAAGGCTCGTGGAAACTTGGGGAAACTTTGATTTGTTGAATATTACAGCCTTTAACATTGTTCACAGACAGCAGCAGAGTTGCCTGTTGATTTCTCACTCTATTGAAGCACTAATCCTCGATCCAGAATCTGCCAGGTGACACTATTTCCGATTGTAGAATAAGAATGTGTTACGTACAGTCAAGCATCCTCTTTTCAAATATTCAGCGCAGGGGCCAGCACATTGTCATCACTTTTGGGACCTGGATGTGAATCCAGCCCAGTCTAATGGCATAAAAGTCTCGTCTATTGACTGTAACTGGATTTGGCCAATCTCAACATAGTCCTGAGTGGGTGTAAACCAAACACAGTTGTCAAAACATTACCAGTACATTGGGTAACTCATTTTATATAGTGGGCAAAAGTATGGCTGTTGTGGGAGGTGGAAAATTTCCTACTGAGGCAATAGAGCGAGAATAGTTGCTGAG